AGATTACCGTGAAGGAAAGCATTTTCGACGTCTAACTGTTGAACTGGCCAATTGTGATGAAGTGCAATGGTGAGAAGGATTCGGATGGTGGGAAGTTTGGCGACCGGACTAAACGTTTCGGTATAATTAATTCCGTACTCTTGATGGTTGCCTTGAGCAACAAGACGAGCCTTGTAACGAGCCACCGAGCCGTCAGCATGAAGTTTTGTTCTAAAGGTCCATTTGCATCCAAGAATTGAGGCATTCGGTGGAGGTAGAACAAGACTCCAAGTGCCCTGTTTTTGAAGAGCGAATATTTCTTGACACATTGTCTGACGCCAATTCAAGGACTTAGAGGCCTCGGTGTAGGTAGTGGGTTCAGAATTTGCAGGAGTTTGTTGGTGAAGAAGGTTGAGTTTGCGAATGGGCTTGAGATTGCCAGTCATAGTGCGAGTGGTCATGGGATGCCGCGGAGGAATACAAGGAGAGCTTGGTCTGGAGATATGAGGCGGACTAGGTATAGGTAAGAGGGACGGAGCAGAGGGATTTGAAGACGTGTTGCTGTGATTGCTGTGAGGAGATGAGAGTGGTATGGTTTGAGTTGTGGAATATTGTGAAGACGTGGGAGTTAACAGAGACGGAGGAATGTCACTATGAGTCGTTGTATGCAGTGTAGAAGTGTTCTTGAAAGGAAAAGAATGCTCAAGAAAAATAACATGCCTGGAGAGATGGATTTTATTAGTTGAGGTGTTAAGGCATTTGAAGCCTTTATAGGAATCAGAATAGCCAAGAAAGATTGACGAGATAGCTTTGGGCTGAAGTTTATGCCAGAGATGAGTGGGCGTAAGAGGATAGCATTCACAACCAAATGTGCGAAGAGAAGAGTAATCGGGTGGTTTGTTGAACAGACGATGATAAGGAGAAACAGTTTGAGTATTAGGAGATGGCATGATATTAATTAGGTGAACAGCCGTGAGAGTTGCCTCCGGCCAGTGAATATAAGGAACGCCTGACGTGGAAAGAAGAGTACGGGTAGTGTCACCAATGTGACGATGTTTTCTTTCTGCCACGCCATTTTGTTCGGGCGTGTAAGGACACGAAATCTGATGATGAATGCCATTAGCCGCGAGATAGGAGGTGAGCGTATGGTTAATGTATTCCGAGCCACCATCTGTCCGAATGCATTTGATGGGGGTAGCTAATTGTTTTTCTATAAACGTTTTAAATGATATAAAAATATTGGGTACTTCGGACTTCTGTCGCATAGGAAACAACCAAGTATACCTAGAAAAATCATCAACAAAAATTAAATAATAACGAAAACCTTGAACAGATATAATGGGGGAGGGGCCCCAAACATCAGAATGAAGAAGAGCAAGAGGTGTAGATTGCTTATTTTCTGATTGTTCAAACACAAGTTTGGTGCCTTTAGAGGCTTTGCAGTTTATACAATCATGATGATTTAACGGTATATTGAGAGTAGGATTAATCTTTGAAATCATAGTAAGCACATTATTGTTGGGATGCCCAAGACGATTGTGCCACAAGGTAGAGCTATGTTGGTTGATCTTGAGAGCGGTGTTGGATGATTTTGTATATGTAGAAGGTACCGCATAGAGTCCGTTACGGCAAGGGCCAGCCAGAATTGTTTGGTGAGTCTTGAGATCCTTGAAAGTGTAACCATGAGGATCAAAAACAACATAAAGATTATTATCCTTCGTTAGTTGCGAAATAGAAATAAGATTGTAACGAATATTAGGGAGATGAAGAAGTTTAGTCAGATGCAGCTTACGATCCGACGTCGGAAGAATACCGTCGCCGGTGTGCGAGATCGCGACGTTTCTGCCGTCGCCAACGGTTATAGTGTCCGACCCCTGATAGGAGTTGGAAGTAGACATTCTGTCCAGAGAGTTTGTTATGTGGGATGAAGCGCCTGTGTCCAGGTACCATTCTTGAGCAGGCTGATTCGAATTCACAGCCAGTGCCGTGTTGGTAGCCGGAGTTGTCGGTGGAGTGTACTGAAGATTTGTACGATGCCAGCATGAGGATGCAGAGTGACCCTTCTTGGTACAAATTTGGCAAATAATTGCTGCTGATGGACGAGGAGCATTGCTGTTCTTGGAGCTGCTGCTGCGACCACGACCCCTTCTACCACGGTCGCGATTTGAGTAGAGCGCAAGATTCGGATCTGCCGATGTTGTGATACGAGCTGCATCCATAGAAATATTGATTTCCTCGCTAAGTAACAAGGCGTACAAGTTATCAAGACTGATGGGATTTAACATTGTTCTAATGGAAGTTTTGAAGGACTGGTAGGAAGCCGGTAATCCATTTAAGATGTACAGAATTACATCTTCGGTATCAAGAGTGGAGCCTGCCGACGCCATTTGATCAACCAGAGACTTTATCTTGGTCAGATATTGAGTCATGGTGGAGGAGTTCATAGAGATATGGTGAAGCTCATTTTTCAACTGAATAACCTTTGAGCGGTTAGTAGATTGAAACCTAAGCTCAAGGGAGGTCCAAATGGCATGGGTAGATTCAAGATATAAGATATAAGGAAGAACAGTTGGAGTAATCGTTGAACATAAAGCTGCCGCCAGATTTTGATCTTGAAGAATCCAAGATTGAGATGTAGGAGTAGAAGTGGAACTCCCTTCCGAAGACACAATCTGTGCCGAAGGTGATGACGAAGGGGATTCAAGAAAAGAAGAAAATCCATTTGCCCTAAAGATTTTAACGATTTGCAAAGCCAAAGAGGGTAATTGTCGGTAGATAGTTGAGTGGGAACAAGATTTTTGATATTAGATACCAGGAATTTGAGGGAGGAAGGAATGCTGGAAGCGATGATGGTAGGCGTAGCGTTTTGAGCCGGCGGAGAAGACAGATCGGAGGAAGCCATAGTCACAGGTTCTTGAGGCCTGATACCATGTAGAATCTGATACAGCACAGCGTGAAGGAACAGAGGGAAAAGACAAGAGCTGTAAGTGGAAATTGTATTAAAACATAGACGTTTACACGGTACAGTAAAGGCAAATATATAGACTAGTGCCAGTTCTAATGTAGCCGGTCTAGATACATCTAATACATGCTAACGTGGAAATACAAAAGACTTATTTATTCTAATAGCCTCGGATTTTTGTATTTTGGAAAAAATAATGAAAAAAAAAAACTCCATATGATTTATTGGAAAGACACTTGTACTCCTAAGGACATCTCAAACCGAAACTCTCATTTTTCGCCGCAAAATGCAGTAAAATCAAAAAGTGCCGTGATTCATCTCCAGTGGAACGTCATTTTGCCCCAAAATCATCGTCGTTTCTTTTGCGCCTTTCTCAGACGGAGTTCGATAGAGAGAAAGAAATGACGAAAGTGAACAGTGCGACGCCATATTGGCGTCGCACTGTTCATCAGCTACTGAATGCCGGCAAAAATAGAGTTCGAATGGCACGTCTGAGGCTCTCCATTCGCCTGTTTGCCAAATGATTGGAGAAGGCCTAAGTAACTTGGCCTCCCCCCCATTGACTCTTTATATTTCACCTTTGGCTCTTCTCTCATTTGGAGATTCCTCAATTCTATTTCATTGGTGGAAATCCAAATACCATTCCCTCTGGAATTGACATACAAGTCAAGCATCCTTCTACCTACTGAAAATTTATTAGCGTGGTTGCAAATAATATTAAGAATTGTCTGACATTTAGAGTGCACTGTTGAAGCTCTATGTCCTTTCTTTGAGGCCCTTGATGCAATGGTAAATCCATTATAGAATTATTCAACATCGCTAGCATGGATAGCATAATTTTATTACTTTATAATATGTCTGTGATCAGTAATTTTATGCATAATGGCACTTGGAATTTGTCTTCTTGGTTACCTGATCACCTTCTTAATGAGATTAGTTCAGTTACTATTCTCTCATCCTCTGTGGGTTGTCTTTGCAAGGGAGCTGAAAATCCAAACATTAAGTCTTTTGCTAACCAGTTTCATTCGCATCTTCCTATGGCTGGCTGGGAAAAATGTATTTGACATAAAAGACACTCACTCCGATTTTCATCCTATGCTTGACTTGTTTTCAAACAAGGCTTAAAAACAACGGATGTTTTGTCTAGACGGGGCATTCATGTTCAAATGTCATGCATATTATGTTCTTCTACTTTAGAATCGCATTCATATCTTTCTTTGAGTGTGATTTTTCCTTTGACATCTTTAATAACATTCTGAGGGATTTAGAGATTATACTTTTAAGGTCAAACCTCTTGTTGGTGTTTGATTTTATTGATGAATTAATTGTTGACAGAATGTAAAAATATTTTCTTATAGGATAAACATAAAACATATTGGAAATCGATATGACTACCCGACCACAGTGATTTCTAAAATTAAAAGAGCTGTTATTCTCAAATCTGCTAGATGGAAAAGCTCTCTCATCCCCCAGCAACTGCTATCGTGAGCCATCTAACTTGGTCGAATTCTTTGGTATGTTATCTTCTCTTTATAACATTGGGTATATCACTTACTGCTCTATATCTATCTGGCCGCTATTGGCTATCATGACTCTCGGTTTTTTATTGTGCCTGAGGTTTCTTCTGGTGGTTCCATCTTTGTGCTCCTAGAAGTCGTCCATGGCAACCAGGGGCCTCCCCTGGTTGCCGGAGAAATTTTTTGAAGGACGATGATGTTAGCTTCTACTCCGGCATTCCCTTGGAGGGTCTTGCTGGCAACCAGTTGAACTTTTGATCGCCTCTGATGATATTTTGTTGGTCTTGTTACTCGGACCGTAGCCTGAGCTCTTTAGAACATTTAGCTGCTCTTTTTAACTCTCTTTCTCTCTATGTTCTCTGTTGTATTGGGTGGTATAAATTTTTGTTATTTTTTCCTTACCTATTAAGCTAATTTTTCTGTCTAGCTTCTGTTGGGTTAGATCTTTAAACACCTTATTTATAATGTTATTTTTATAGCAATATGTGGGGTTCGGCCGCAAATTTCCGCCCAAAAAATAAAAAAACTAAGCTCAGCTTTAATTGGAGGTGATTCGCTAAACAGTTGACATAGGACTTACACGTTAACAGTTAACTCATTACAGCTTTAGCATTAAAGTAATAAAAAAAAAATATGGAGGACGCAGTTTTATTTACAAAGGACGACTATTATTTTTTGCACATTACACCAACGTGGAACAGGATGCCGTTAACGCATCAAAGATGGCCGGGAGGAGATACTTCCGGCCATGGGCCCCATTCGCGTTGTAGCTGGCACTGGTGGCGCTGTCCACCATGAGATTGCCGGCGTAACCCGGGTACGCTCCCTTGCCATAGACCCCGGGACACGCCGTCGCTGCCTCTAGCGGCGCCGTTTTCGGTCCCATGAAAAATCCACCACCGAATGGGTTCGTAACAGCGCCGGCGATCATGCTAGCCAGATTCATCACCATACCGTCAACTCCGACATCGCCGTTGGGAGCCACAAGCGGTGGGGCCTGCGGACCGTAGACTGGCTTGTGGAAGGGCCACGCGCACTGGCCCGGACACTGGACCGCCGAGTTACCCACCCATATGTAGGCGAACCGGCCAGCCTTAGACCGGGGGGATGACCCGTGGGCCCCGCAGCGGCTCATGCAGAATCCCTCCACCGCCACGTCATCCGCGGTCAGCACCACGTTTAGTGCCCGCCGCGCCCGGCCTCTCGCCGCGAGAGCTGCAATGTCGGAGTTCTTCAGAGATTTACCCAATGAGCAATCCTCATCGAGGATCTGGTCACCGAGGTTTAGTCGTGGCGGCGCCAGTTTTGACTGGGTGTAGTACTTCTCCGCCATCGTCCACCAGGATGACACGGAGGGCTTCACTACGCCGCTGGCGGACAGGGAGGATACGAAGTCGGAGAGGATGGCGCGCTGGGCGGCCGTGAACTTACCGTACCAGAGGAGGTTGATGGAGATGGGCCCGGAGAGGACTTCGCCCTTGTGGTAAGTGATGGTGAGAGGCTGCTTCTCCTCCACCGCGGCGAGCTTACGGGAAGCCAGGGAGGCCCCGAGGAGAAGGTAAAACATGAAGCAGAAGCAGAGAAATAACGAATAACTTGGAAAGGTCGCCATTGAAATACTTTGGGATGTGAGGAGAACTGGAGGAGTCTTGGTGTTATATAGTGGGCCAAAGCGGATAAGGGGAGGCAAAGAAAGTGCGGAATCAAATAATTGATGAAAGAGGAAGCGCTGATCAGGAAGCGTGAAGCTTACACGTGTGAGCTAAGTAGCTGGGGAGGAATGGGCTGAGAAAGAGTTCATCGACCTAGCTGGATTGTTATGGTGTTAAAGAAATGGTTGTGGTATATATGGATTGAAAGGTGTCCTATTGAGCTTTATTGGCGCCGTGGGTTAAGTGATGGGAGCATGTGGTGAGGAGTCACTGATGATGAGGCGGCAAGTCATGGATGGCTGGTACTACGGCGCCATTGACGGAGAGCGATGTAGCTGGGCAGGATCACGCTTCTTAGCTTGCAGCTAGCATTATCGACATCCCACGGAACTATTCTAATAGTAGTTTTTTATTTGGTTATTATTATCGTTGGTTATCCATACGATCTTCCCCACCAAGCCTCTCACAATTATACATTATATTTCTTAAAATATATTTATCTTTCCAAAACTATATATTTATTAGTATAATAACAATTATTAATAAGAAAAAAAACCCCTTCTGTCCTGGTGGACCACCTTCGTAGGGCTTAACAGATTATAGTAATTCGTTATCCATACGATCTTCCTCCATCATCTCTTTGGTTTATTAATTGGTTGAGAGCTTAGACTTTCAACTAAGAGGTTTAGGGTTCGAGTCTATCTGCATGCATTGTGTGTATAAGTTTGCCTTAAATAGCCTAAATGTCTAAAAAAAAAACAAAAAAAAAGCCTCACAATTATACATTATATTTCTTAAAATATATTTATCTTTCCAAAACTATATATTTATTAGTATAATACAATTATTAATAAGAAAAAAAAAAAACCTTTCATTCCTGGTGGACCAACTTCGTTGGGCTTAACAGATTATAGTAATTCTATGGCTGTCAATATTTGTTCTATTTTAGATTATGAGGAGGTGAAAATATATAATTTAATAGTTGTAGTATATTCCTCAAATTTGATAGAATATATATTAGAGATTATGAATGGAATGATGATTAAATTGGTCAAAAAAATATGGAATTTAATAATTATGCTATGTTTCTATATTATGAGATGATGAATGAGATAATGATGAAGAATTTTATTTTTAGGCTTATATTTATAAACTCTATTTCTCGATCATTGGAAATATATTATGACAATTCAATTATAGTCTTTATGACTAAGAGTAACAAGAGTTACAATCAAAGTTAGAGAAACGAAATTTAATACTTACTCATAAGAGAATATGATTAAAAAAAACAATGGTTAATTATTAAGCACCTAAGCACTGAGTTAATGATAATCAGTTCTTTTATTAAAGACGTACTATCATAGGAGTTTAGAGATCATATTGACCCTTAAAAGTCTTAATTATTTTTATTGATTTCAATGCATGAATAAATATTATAAATGAAACAATTTTATGATTGTGATATTTTTTCTTATTTAGTTATTTTATATGCACATATACTAATATGATAATATCATTAAAGTTAGAATCAAAATAAATATGGGGTTTTTTATTAATTATAAGCTATTTGGGTATATCTGTATACGTATAAGAGACAATTTTTTTAGAATACATTAGAGATAATATTTGCCCTTAGGGGACCTACCAGCATGATCAATGAATTTTGTTTTTTAACATAATACCAAAGAAATATTTAGACCTTGCATGCAGGAGAGTATTAGTTTTTATAATTACTTACATTTTAATTAAGTTAAAATGTAGTGTTTATAAATGCTTTTATTTTACATAAGTAACTTTAATTTTCCTCCAAAAGCAACAAGGTAGATAGATAATATTCTGTTATTAAAATTACTAATTTGTGCTTAAAAACTCTTTGATGAATAAATATTAGATACATGATGAAAAACAAAACAGAAAAAGTTTTTGGGTCACAAAGCCTTAAATACTCTTTAGAAAAATATATCATCAATTTTGAGATATAAAAATATTTTGAAGCGGTCGAAATCAATGATAATCAACAAATGCCAATATTTGAAAATATGTTAATTTTGCCATTTAATATCAGATCATTTTTAAGATTCAATTTTAAAAATCTATCTATAATCTAAAATTCTTTCTTTCATTTGATTATAAAATTTAGAAATATGTCTAAAATATATAAATTAATGCTATCTAATTAAAACTTTTTGGTAAAAGATTATAACCAGGCATGCAAAAAAGGTTTTTTCTTGTTTGTTTGTTCTTTGTTTCAGGTTTCTTGCTACCGTTCGCCGGCGGACTTCGATCGTGGGCCTTCATCAGGTTGGTATCAGAGCTACACTGCGCGATGACGGAGAAGGGCAAGGAACCGGCTGTCGACGCTGGTCGGAGCTTCGAAACACTCTGGGAGAACCAGGCTACCATCCTTCGCCGGCTGGAAGAGCTGACGGCAGATGTGCAACGCCTATCTTTAGAAATGCGTCGAGATAATCATCTCAATCGTATCCGGAACCCCCACCAACCACCGCGCCGAGAACCTGGACCGGAAATGGCTACAGGAGGGCGATGCGGACTGGACCTGGAACGACAATGGCGCCGACCACCTCCACCAATGCCTTATTCTTCCGATTCAGAAGAAGACATGATCGACAGAGAAGCCATTTTGACGGAGTCGGGAGAAGACGAAGAGTATCTAAATTGTAATGCGGGTCCGAATCGACGACGACGAAGACCATTCCAGCCAAGGTCACAAGCAGAATTCAAGGTTAAAGTAGACATACCTTTTTTTGATGGTCATTTGCATATTGAAGATTACTTGGATTGGGAAAAGGCAGTCGAAAATTTCTTCGATTATATGGACATTGAAGCCTCTAAGCAAGTGAAGTATGTGGCATGCCGTTTGAGGAGCGGCGCAAGTGCTTGGTGGACTCAGCTGCTGCAATCGAGACAACGAGAAATGAAAGGGCCAGTTCGTAGCTGGGCAAGGATGAAGCAGATGCTGCGATCGCAGTTCTTACCCACTGATTATGAGCAGATCCTCTATATGAGGTATCAGCATTGCGTGCAGGGTAGCCGTTCGGTGAGCGAGTATACTGAAGAATTTCACCGTCTTTGTGCCCGCAATAATTTGAATGAATCAACAAACCAATTGGTGGCTCGGTATATTGGGGGCCTTAAGGAGTCCATCCAAGATAAGCTGCAATTGAACTCCGTGTGGTCTCTGTCTCAGGCCATTAATTTTGCCCTCCGAATTGAAATGCAGTTTAACCGCCCGTCACGATTCCAGTATTCCCGAAAATCACAGCCAGAAATCACAGTTGATTCTGCAAAGGCGGGCTCAAGTTCAGCTAAGCCCAATGCAAACCCCGTGACTACCTCACCTGCCTCGACAGTACCCAGAGCTGCTGGAAATATTCAAGAGGGTAAGACACCTCCCAAGAATAAATCTCCCGCGTCCACCAATCCGTATGCTAGGCCCAATACCCTGAAATGTTTTCGCTGTTTTCAATCGGGTCATAAATCTAATGAATGCCCTCAACGGCAACAACTGCAATTGATGGAGAATGAGGATGGGGAAGGATCCATCCATCTGAATGAAGGAGACAATCAAGATTTCGAGGACGTCGATGGCGATGAGGGTGAACCATTGATATGTGTAGTTGAGAAACTGTTAATCACTCCAAGCCGTGCCTCAGCATCACAGCGGAATGCTATTTTTAAGACCCGATGTACCATTAAGGGTAAAGTCTGTGACCTCTTGGTGGACAGTGGTTGTACTGAAAACATTGTGGCCAGGTCAGTGGTTCAAGCACTGCAGCTCAAAACTACAAAGAATCCCCAACCTTACAAAATCAGCTGGGTAAAACGTGGTATTGAAATTCAAGTCACCGAAATGTGTCAAGTAACGTTTTCTATTGGCCGGCATTATGTGTGTGAAGTACTCTGTGACGTCCTAGACATGGACGTGTGTCACTTAATTTTGGGCCGCCCTTGGCAGTTCGATGCGGGAGTAATGTATGATGGCAGAGCCAATGCATATTCCCTTGATTGGAAAGGAAGACGGTTACGTTTTCTGCCAACAGCTAGAGAAGAGAAGGCTGCGAACCGTAACAATTCGGCTTCAATTATGCAGATCGTGACCGGTCCTACCCTGTTATTATCTTGGCAAGAATCTTCTTCTATGTGGGCATTGTTGGTCATGGAAGCTGAGCCCATTACCTCCACGGGTATTCCACCGGAAATACAGGAACTCCTTACAGAATTTGCTGAAGTCTGCCCACACGAACTCCCGTCTAGCTTACCTCCCGAGAGAAAGGTGCAACACCAAATTGATCTGATCCCGAATGCTACATTACCAAATTTACCGCACTATCGACTCAGCCCAAAGGAGCAACAGATTATGCAGACAATTATTGAGGAGCTACTTCAAAAACAACTTATCCAAGAAAGTATCAGTCCATGTGCTGTACCCGCCCTACTGGTGCCTAAAAAGAATGGCGAATGGCGACTGTGTGTAGACAGCCGATCAATCAATAAGATCACTGTTAAATATAGATTTCCGGTACCACGGATTGACGAATTACTTGATAAGCTGGGTGGGGCATCCGTTTTCTCCAAGCTTGATCTCCGCAGTGGATATCACCAAATACGTATAAGACCCGGCGACGAGTGGAAAACAGCGTTCAAGACACCACTGGGCTTATACGAATGGAGGGTAATGCCGTTTGGACTTTGTAATGCACCATCTACCTTCATGCGGCTGATACATGAGATACTCAAACCTTTCTGGGGACGATTCTGCATTGCCTATTTTGATGACATCCTAGTCTTCAGCCAAACTTTGGGAGATCACCTCTGCCATTTGAGACAGCTCTTCACGGTTTTACAGGAAAACAAGCTTTTCCTCAATTTGTCTAAATGTGAGTTTGCCACCTCACACGTCAGTTTTTTGGGCTTCATAGTATCCAAGGAAGGTGTGGAAATGAGCAAGGATAAAGTCTCAGCTATTTTGAATTGGCCGACGCCTACCACTTTCTTTGAAATTCGCAGCTTTCACGGCCTTGCGAACTTTTATCGCAAATTTATTAAAGGATTCAGTGTCATCTTGAGTCCAATTACCGACTGCCTCAAAGCTAAAGTATTTAAATGGGGACCTCCACAGCAAGACAGTTTCGAAACCTTGAAAGCTGCCCTCACGACCGCCCCTGTTCTAGTTATACCGAACTTTGAGAAGCTTTTCACCGTCGAGACAGACGCATCTTCAATTGGGATAGGAGCAGTGCTTTCCCAAGAAGGTAGACCGGTGGCATACTTCAGTGAAAAACTCTGTCCCACACGCCAACGCTGGTCGGCTTACGAACAGGAACTCTATTCGGTGGTGCGTGCGCTCAAGCAGTGGGAGCCGTATCTTCAGCATCAAGATTTCGTTATCTGCACCGACAACAAGGCCTTACAGTTCATCAACAGTCAAAAACATGTCAACAGGATGCATGCCCGTTGGGTTTCTTTCCTCCAAAAATTCTCATTCGTGCTTAAACACCAACCGGGACACCAAAACAAAATTGCGGATGCTCTAAGCAGGAAAATGGCTCTGCTTAGCCAACTCCAAACTGAGTTCGCCGGATTAGTTTGTCTCCAAGATCTATACCCGAATGATCCTGAATTTGCGGGTATTTGGCAGGCGTGTCTGCAGGGAGATAATTCACCAGATTTCACTATCCGTCACGGTTTCTTATTCCACCAGAATTTGCTGTGTGTCTCGGCTTCTTCGTGGCGTCTCCACCTCATACAGGAAGCCCATTCTGGCGGTCTAGCAGCTCACGCAGGACGTGACAAAACGTTGGCCCAGCTTAAATGCAGATTTTTCTGGCCACGACTGCGTCGTGATGTATTACGCTTCGTCGAGCGTTGTCCGGTCTGTCAAAGTTTCAAAGGAGGTGCACAAAATACCGGACTTTACTTACCGTTACCGGTGCCGGACACCATCTGGGAAGATCTAAGTTTAGATTTTGTTTTGGGCCTTCCCCGCACACAGAAAGGACATGATTCCATCATGGTCGTCGTCGACCGGTTCTCCAAAATGGCGCATTTCCTTGCCTGTAAGAAAACTTCAAACGCTTTATACATTGCTCACCTTTTTTTTCATCAAATTGTGCGATTGCATGGTGTACCCCGAAGTTTGACGTCCGATCGAGACGTTAAGTTCGTTAGTCACTTCTGGCGCGAGCTGTGGAAGCGACTTGGAACAGACCTACGGTTGAGCTCCGCCTACCATCCTCAGACGGACGGGCAAACCGAAGTGGTTAACCGCACTTTGGGGAATATGCTACGATGTTTGACACAAGATTCCCCTAAGCAATGGGAAGAGAAGCTGAGCACGGCAGAATTTGCATACAACTCTATGGTGAATAGATCGACGGGTAAGTCCCCATTCAGCATTGTTTATACAAAATTGCCTAACCTTGCGTTAGACGTGGCTGTGCTACCGAAATGCAAGTCGGGAAAGGCAACCCACTTCGCAACTCAATATTCTGACATGTTAGAGGAGGTTCGCAAGCAGCTACACAAATCAAACCAATCCTATAAGACCTCAAAAGACCTCCACCGTCGAGAGAAAATCTTCAATGTGGGTGACCTCGTCATGGTTCGTTTGCGGCGCGAACGGTTCCCACCAGGCATGTACTCTAAACTTAGCCGCAGGAAGATTGGCCCATTCGCAATTACCACCAGGATCAATGACAATGCCTACATTGTCGATTTGCCGGCTAGCTACAATACCACCTCAACTTTCAATGTCAGCGACATTTGGCCTTACCATCCTCCCGATAGTGCCCCGACCATCACTTGCTCGTCGGAGTCGAGCTCTTCCGTCGCCGGGGAGGACTGATGCAGTGCATCGTTACTCCGCATAGACAGCACACCGGCCACCTTGAGGACGTGCACCTTTTTTTCTGCTAAGTTTGTTATTTTCAGTACCTTTGCACTTATTACCTTTTCATTTAGATACTCCACTTATAGAATATATATGGTATATTCTACAGCTTAGAATAGTTTGGCTTACATATAGCATGATACTGTATGGAGAAGATTTTTACAATACAGATCAATACTACTCTCTCGGGGAAGAGTTTATCCCGGTTTCCTCTGTTCTTGTTTGTTTGTTCTTTGTTTCAGGTTTCTTGCTACCGTTCGCCGGCGGACTTCGATCGTGGGCCTTCATCAACTTTCAGTTCTTTTTTCTTTAGAAGAGAAATCTCCTCCAACCAAAAAAATCCATTAAAATTTATATGTTTCATAGTGAAATAATCAGCACATCATGCACACCGCACTTTTCACATTTTAAGTACAACATTTCTAACAATTTCAAAAGAAAAAAATACTATTTCATCAAAAGAAAGCACATGCTTGGGTGCCACAACGAAATGTAAAGTTTGCCCCAAAAATGTAGAATTAGAAGACATTAACTTAGAGATAATTATCTTTAGTAAAGTGAAGAAAACATGGCTACACTCATACGCGGTATGAACTATAAGCATTGACTAATTAATCATTAAACCTGTAGTTTAGCAGATTGATGAACCACAGGCAAACCGACAGCAGTTCCTACTGATGTTATTTCGTAGTTCTGACTCGCACTAGAACAAGGCCTGGAGTAAGGTTGTATGGCTGATAGGTGAGTTCCATCCATGGATTCCTTAAGGAATCCATTTGTATTCATCTGCTGAGTAACCCACAAGAAGAATTTGAAAAAGAAACTCAGTATTAGTGATTTGCGGAATTCAACCATCCCACCAGGTGCATCTCCTGCAAGAGGAACATTGTCTTTCAATATTTTTAAAGCCGACTGTAATAAGTTTTTATCCCAAGTCTTTCCAATTAGAAAATTTTCAGTTTTTGCCGCAATGAGGGAAACTGCAGCAACTCCGCCATATATAATGGAAACGTCAGAAACTTGCCAATTTGACTCTACTTCCTCAAGGTACACACGCATTCCAGCATTTACAAGAGCAATATCATCTTCTCTCCGGTGTGATTGCTTAAACTCTTTAACAAACTCAAAATGTTTGCTCCAAGGTAAGAAAATTGAGTGTAGAATTTCACCCTGAGCAAGATCAACTTTGCGGTAACCAAGAAAGAAATCTTTAGCATGGACAGTTCTAATGTTCCCTTTTGAGTCAACAATATTAAAATCTGCTCTAGCAGCCATCCAAAGTGGATTCAAATCTGAAATTGGACTCGCAGTGCATATATTTCCACCAACAGAAGCCACATTCTTCACCTGCTTTCCAGCAAACCATTTTAGCTGATCACTAATAGCCCTGCAAGAGGATGTTTCATGAATTTCTCGTTCTGCTATCACTTCTTTGAGAACTTCTTGAAGCCTGCTCAGCCTTACAGAAGAGCCTATCTCAAGACCATTCTCTTTAATGCTCAAAACATTGAGCTCAGGTACATGTGAGACAGAGATAAGAACTGGATATTGTGCATTTTTAAAATTAACTTCAATTCCTACCTCCGTATTACCAACAACAAGTTTTGCAGCTGGGTAAAGTGACTTAAGATCCAATAGATGTTTAAGTTTTAGGGGACGATACCACCTAATTCCACCAAAACCATGCAATTTCAGTGGAAGATTATTTCTCAAAACCAGCTCTGGTGGAAAAATAAGTTCCTTCTCTTTGTATAAACTTCCATCAATTTCATTGTAAGAGACAGGTCTGTGTTCTCCACAAGTGGAACCGCAAGCTGAACTTTCACTATTATGAACTTTTCCTTCTCTACATGAACATGGTTTTCCAGATGATGGGCAAATGAATTCACCATTTGTTGGATATGATTTAGTGTACACAGAGTTATCGGTCTTAGCAAAAACACGAAAAGCATCTATTATCGGTCTATAACCAGTACACCGACATAAATTTCCAGAGAGGCATTCTTCAATCTGCTCTTCACTAGGAGGTACTTTGTTTGACCGCAGCAATGCATACATGGACATCACAAATCCAGGGGTACAAAATCCACACTGAGAACCATGGGCTTGAGCCAAAGCCTCCTGCAGTTGAAGTAAAAGCTATATTCAAATTCTTAACTCCAAAAGAAGGAACCAGTTCAAATAATAATTTTATCTGAGAACTATGACTTAGAGGTCAATTTGCTAACAGAGTAGTTTATTTCAGGATCTCAAAACATGGATGTAACAAAGTTGCTATAGATGGCGACTAATGGCTTTTGATAGCATGATAGAACAAAACTTCAGTCATGAAATACAAGGCTCTCTAAAACTTCAGTCTGACAGCCATTTGGTACGAAAATATTTTTTGGCAGCTTCAAGCTCCAATTACAGACTCCTTAACCCTCTTATCCATCTCTTTTTAATACAGAAATCTAGGTGATAGAACCAGGTTGATTTGTTCACAACACACCAAAAACAAAGTAAACTGACTTGGAGTTGAAACATTGAAACAAACTAACAAATGACTTGACGCAACAGCACAAACTGATAGTAAACGGTCATTTTCTGCATAAGCCGTTGATACAACAATACAAGAGTTGAAAGCAATGCAGCTATATACATTATGATGTGTTAAATCCCCAAAAATAGATATTAACTCATGCACCCATTAACGAAACTAAAACTAAACTAGTTCACAAAAGAAGCAAACAATAGCACAGGTAATTTAAAAGCAGTCTTAAGAAAGATTCAGGCTTTGTTTGAGAGGGCTTTTTAACTGCTTCTTGAAGCAGCTTTTTAATACAAAAATTAAATTTTTTATAATAAAAAGCTCCTTCAATAAGCAATAAGAAAGCTGTCCCAAACAAAACCTCAAGCACACATCCGTTTGACGCAAGCCTCTTGTGAGGTAGAACATTTTAGGGAATTCTAATGCACAACTAACATGCAATACAAATTTAGATGTTATCACCCAAGGCAAAAGCATGCAACATCTCAAAGAAAGCAAGATATTTATTGTAAGCAATTATTAATCACTTTTTATGAAAATTGAAAGCAATTGAACTCCAATTTAGATGTAAATTGATTTTAGCGATCAAATAGAAATTAAAGACCATAAAATTTAAGGCTTTCAAAAGCCAAGCAAGCAATTGAAAATTTGAGCAAAGGAAAGAAAACAGAAAAATTAAGATCTAACAAAATTCAATGGCACTTTCAATCAATGACAATCAAAAGAAGAGAAGATAGAGAGAAAAGAGGAAAAGAAGTAATTAATAAGCAAGCACAATAATTGAAAAAGGAGACCCACCCAAAATTAGCAGAATTTCAAACAGATTTGTTGATAATTTTTAATACTAATTTTACCAAAGTTAAGTTGTGCTGATGATATTTCTACTAAAAACATTTATTTTTCGTTTTTTTTAAAGAGCTTTTAATGAATTTTTGCATTGAAATTTATCTTCAAAATTAAACAAAAAAATCATCAGAAACCCATTCAACAGAATTTGGCAACAGTAATGAGAAGGGGGGCAGTGAGGTTAAAAATAAAAACAATGATAGAGGCAATGGAAATAACAATGTGTAGAAGAGGTGAAGATGAGTGGTGGAGGATAAGGGCAAGGATGGATGGACGAAGATGATGTAATAGCAGGCGATGGCAGCAAACTTGACAAAGATGAAACATCAATGACAATGGTAGAGTTAAAGAAGGCGGTGCACACAAGTGAGAAAGGTAGATGAAGCAAGGACATCAAAAGGTGAGGTAAGTGACAAGCGTAAGGACAGTGGAGAAGACAAGAAAGGTAGATGCAGTGAGATTCATGATGTCGAGGGTGGTGAAATTAATGGAGAACAAAGACAAATGCAAGCAAAGAGTAGCTAGAGCTAAAAAAGAAGGTACAAGGGAAGAGAAGAGAAGAAAAGGGAAAGATTTTATAAAGCTAAATTGAGTTTTATGAAGGATAAATGTCAAAATTTTAGTCAAAAATGCATTTCAATTCTCATTATGATCAATGAAATTCAAATACATTTATAAAAAAAAAAATTTAATAACAAATTTAAATTCTGTAAAAAATCAAAACTCAAGAGGACATTAAATTTCCATTAAAAAAGGAAAAATAGAATCAGCTTTGGTGAACAATCAATTTCACTACGTTTAATTTTATGAAAGATAATATTGCTAGTAATATTGATTTATGCCTTATTATTACACTTCATGACCATGGGTTGTGTTATAATGAAGCTGAATTTCCTTTACAATGGTTTTGATCCACATCATCTCGCTTAGAGAATGGATCATAACCCCGCATTCAACTTCGGCACTGAATCTAAAGAGAACAGTTTATTTTTTACCTCTCTAGAAAAAGTGTGATTGCCTCCCAAAAAACACAGTATCCTAAAACAAACATTCAATCTTCAATAAATCCAGCATAATCAGCCCCAGGATAACATTTAATATTTAAATTATTATACTTTTTATCGTATATTTCTCGAGATATTTAAAAAAAAATTGCACAAGATTCAAGTCTTTCTTCTTTGGGTTTGCTTGCATATGCTAATAAACTACACCAACAACAATGGATAAACCAGTCGGGTGATAGTTAAATAGAAACTTACCAACTAAAAGTTCATAACTAGGATTATAATGAAGCTTTCAACATTACTAGATGTTAGTAAACTATTCATGGGAGAGTCAACAAGCCTTCTGTTAGACCGGTCCACTGGACCAGTCCAGCCGGTCCAGGCGGGACCGGTTCACGGGTAAAATCGCAAGATGAGCGGAGGAAACTTCCGCCTGGGCGGAAACCGTGCGAGACGCAAGCTCCACGGGAGCGTTTTAGGAAGGATTTTTTGGGGGTTTAAGAGAGAAATTTGAATGTAGGGACTGTTTAGGGATTTCCTTTTGATTTGTATGCATTAAATAGTAGATTTTCCTAGGGTTTGAGCATCTTGAATTTGGCTGAAATTTGAGATCTCTTAGATTTAGGATTTCTTTGGGCTCTAGCGGCGTCTAGAGATTTGGGAGAGATCGATCCTCCTCTCGAATTGAGGATCAATTGTATCTTTTCTATTTCCTTTCATCTTCTAGTAAAATACAAGTTCTTACTTCGTGTTTCTATCGGTTTTTCTCGTGTTTTCCCCACTGTTTTGGCTGATTTCCTGCTGTGGACAGCAGTTTGCTGTGAGATCTTTGGCTAAAGTGATTAGGAAATACTTGGAATCAAGTATTTCCTATCAAATTGGTATCAGAGCATCGTTTTTGGGACCTTAGGCGGCTGAAATCCTGATTTTTCAGCGAGCTTTTGGCTTCCGGAAGTGATATTTTTGAGATCCATTGGGAAGAAATATGGCCGGAAAGAAGGTTGACATCTTGGAAGGCAAAGTCGGCCAATTGAAAGCCGATTTGGAGGAAAGATTCTTCAACCTTCAAAACCAAATCACCTCCAACAATGAAAGGTTGGAGGGGAAGTTCACCGCAATGGAGGAAATGTTGAAGAAACTGCTTGAGATGAAAACCAATCCGGCGACATCGGAAATAAGAGAGATCGCCGACGGCCATGGCATGGGAGGAAATCCGAACCCCTTGCGGGGGAGGAGAAATGTGGAGGTGGAGATCCTAGAGGAAGAGAAAGACATGCCTCTGCTAGAGCCCTTTTCGAGGGAAGAGATGAGCATGGGATATGACAGAAGGGGGGCTGATTTTGGTGGGAGAAGAGAGGGATCGCATTGCCGAGGTGCTGAATTCGAAAGAATTCAGCGTCGAGGGGGGGATTTTGAAGGAAGAAGCCCCTATGG